TGAATATTGGGACTTCTTTTCATTTATTTAGGTCTTTAATTTCTTTCAACAATGTTTTGTAGTTTTCATGCAAAAGTCTTATACCTACTTGGCTAAATTTCTTCCTAAGTATTTCATTTTTTTTGATGCTATAGTAAATGGAACTTTTTTCAATTTCATTTTAAGATCGTTCATTGCAAGTGAATAGACATACAGCTGATTTTTGTATATTGACCTTGTATCTGCAACTTTGCTGAACTTACTAGTTTTTTTCTTTTTATTGAATAATTGGGGTGACATTGATTAACAAAATTATACAGGTTTCAGGTACACAGTTCCAAAACACATCATCTGTACACTGTATTGTGTGTTCACCACCCCAAGTCAAGTCTCCTTTCATCACCATTTATCCCCCCTATACCCTCCTTCACCCCCTACCCCCCACAGTCCCCACACTATTGTCCATGAGTTTTTTCTCAATCCTTCCACACCCTGCCCCCCCAATAGCTGTCAGCCTGCTTTCTGGCTATGGTTCTGATAGTTTTTAGAGGATAATTTCCTCTGTGTTCACAGGCCTACTTTAAAAGTATTGTTTAGCTTTTGGTATTGAAGCTAACACTTTAGTACTGCCTCTTCCTCCCTCCTCTTCTTTCTCCTCCCCGACCTTCCCATGTTCCCTAAAAGAGATCTACAAACACGTATAAATGGATTCTCCCTCCTTGTTGGAATTGACCGTGTTTATTGTACTGAGTTTGGAATAGACTCCAATGAGTAAATTCTTAAGTAGCTATCTTGAGAGTGTTTTAGTATTTTCAAAAGTATCAATCTGATAGGTGGGGGAAAGATGCTCCTAAAGCTTTTATTATCAGTGGTCTTCACTGGAAATTAAAGAAATAGAAAACGAAACAAATATAAGGAGCCACCCATTCATCTAAAAGAACAAAAATAAAAATGATAAAATCCAACATTGGCAGGATGATAGTCATGTGACACTGTAGGTGAGTTCAGTCATTTGTATGGTAAGAACTATAATATGAGCCTGTTCACCTAGTTCTACACCAAAGATATGACTCAAAAGTTAAGAACTATAGCCCTAGCCAGTTTGGCTCAGTGGTTAGAGCGTTGGCCCGCGGACTGAAGGGTCCTGGGTTCAATTTCAGCCACGCGCATGTATCTCAGTTGCAGGCTCAACCCCTTGCCCTGGTTGGTGTGTGAGGGGGAGGCAGCCAGCTGATGTGTCTCTCTCACATCGATGTTTCTCTCTTTCTCTCTCTCTTCCACTCTCTCTGAAAAACAATGGAAAAAATATCCTCAGGTGAGGATAAAAAAGTAAATTAAGAACTATTCATATGAGTTCTCTTTAGCTGTGCTATAGCTAGTTATTTGAAAAAAATATAACAATTGGGAGCTAGTGAAACAAATTATTATATTAATGTAATGATGGACCATTGTATTACAACTAAACATCAGTATTATGTGCACTATGTAGATTCAAGGAAGAGTAGACATGAAATAAGTGGGGAAAAAACTTAAAGGAAGGAGAACATAGATAACTAAAAAATTATATGAGGAAAAGAAAGAATTTATCAAGGTTATACATACAGTTTATATTTAAGTGTGTACACTTGAAGAAATACACACACACGCATACATATATTTGCCACCAAACATGCAGCCTTTTCTTATTTAGTTCACTCTTTTGGATCCAAATATCTTATGGAGATTTTTACTTTGTGTTAATGGGCCACACATAATGTTCATTGTCCTCAAGAATGTGAAGGACAAGCTTGTCTTGAACTCTCACATATGACAACCCCTCATTTTGACAGTCAACAGGTTCTGTTCTTAAAACCTCTCACATAGCAGGGACTGGCAATTGCAGCAGTAGACTTGGAAACCAGGTTTCATCAAAGGGAGCCCAGCGACCGGTGAATGGTGGAGGCTAGTACTCAGTGGGGAGAGCTAGAAAGCAAGAGGAGGGGGACTTAGTTGCCAGAAGGAACTTCAGGGAGTGGCAGCACCCACCCTCTGTGGTGCTTAACTCCCTACTTAACAGCTCAGAGAAGGGTTCTGCTTGGGCTTTTCCAGGTATGGGAAACACGCTATTTCCCAGAGCAAACTATCCCATCTGGATAACTCCTTTTAATAGTGGGTTCTTCCTTATGTCTAGCCAAAGACCTGCCTCCCTTTATGTTCCATCTACTGATCCTATTTCTGACTGATTTTTTAAGCCCCATGGAACAAGTCTTATCCATACGACAGCTTTTATTTTTTTTTAATTTTTATTTATTTATTTATTTTTTAATATATCTTTATTGATTTCAGAGAGAGGAAAGAAGAGGGAGAGAGATAGAAACATCAATGATGAGAGAGTCATTGATTGAGCCCGCAGCCCGGGCATGTGCCCCGACCAGGAATCGAACCCGGATCACCTGGATCCTAGGTCGACACTTAACTGCTGAGCCATGCCTAGCCAGGCACGACAGCTTTTAATAGCAGTTTTAAAACTGCTGCTGACCCCTGGCTGTACCATAGTTTGCCACTGTTGCCTTTTATAGTGTGCTACCTGGAACAGAATACCACACATGACAAAACTGAACAGTGTTATATATTGTCTACCTGGGGGTCACTCTCCTAGTGCATTGGCTTATTTGGTATCTATTATTGTATCATTGACTTCTGTTATCAACTAAAACCCATACGTAGCATTTTTTTTCCTTTTCAACATTCACATAGTGAAACAAATAGTTGCTAAGCCACATCCTGCTGTTGTTTCTTGGACTTTAGATCTATAGATGTCAGCCTCCTTTGGAGCAGTTTTCTTAGCAACAGTCTGCTGTGGGTAACTTCAGTTTTTATACACGATATAAAGAGGCACTTTTGCAGTGTTTGAAATGAATTAAGCATCTGTACCAAGTAAGCAACACAGTGGTTTCTTGGTTGATGGGGAAGGATTGTATACTGTCTCTTCTCCCTCAGTAACATGTAGAATTCACTTGGGAGGCCCTGTTCTTCAGACACTTTTGATATATTGAAAGAGAGTAGAAATTAGCTGTTGTTTGCATAAATAATTACATTAGTTGATCCCCAGAATATTAGAGCTAGAGAGTTGCTGAGAGAAATTTTAGTTCACCCCTTTTCCTTTCTGCAGGTTTGGAAAGGAAACATACAAAGAGAATTATTCCAAGTTACTAAGGAAACTGGTGATAGAGACAACCTTAGAACCCAGGTCTTCTAAATTACATAGGAACTAGCTTACTTGCTTTTGCCTGAATAGTAGCTTTCAATTACTTCATAATTTTTTTTCAGGCCCCTTTATGAGCTCAACTGCCCCAGAGCTAGATGACTCCCTTGAATTCCTCCAGCATGTGAGTGAATGACACCCTCTTAGATATTTAGCAGAGTTGCTCTGGTGTGAAGTTTGGCAGGGTCCTCTCAGGGACTTCCAAGCCCTTTATTGGCTTTCTATCAAGCACTTTCCTTGTGAGATTACATGGGGTCCCATCTCCATTACAGTTGGTGGGAGAAAACACGGTCACCCTGCATCACTCACGTGCCAGGGTCGGGGCAAGTTCTGAGAAGTCCCCTGGGACTGGACCTGTGGGAGCACTCAGCACAAAGCTAGCCTATGGCAGCTATTGTTGGGTGCCGGGTGGATGACGGGTTGTGATGGCCTTCAGAGGTCCTGTCTCCTCACCAGGTCTCTGAGATAGCACATCAGACTCAGTGTGGGCATCCAGCCACTTGCTGGGGAGAGCCCCTTATAAGTAGGCAGTTGTGCTAGTCTACCAAGTATCAGAAGGATTTTTAATGTTCATGTACCTTTTTTTCCTCACTTGGTTGCAGATTCTTGGAGGATAGGAAGTTGAGTCTTTTTCAGATTCAGGCAAGGTGTCGGGAGATACATTTAGTGTTTTGCTGCTACCTGGCTGTAGCAGAGCAGGCCTCTTCATCTTTTGGGGGGATTGATTCTTCACCTGTAAAATTAGCAGTTGGAGTGACCTCCGAAGGCCGTTTTAGCAACAGTCTCTAGGATTCTGGAGCCTGTATGACTCCCAAAGTGTATCCTTATTATGTAATTTAGAGAAGCCTTTGTTCTCTTTTCTGTAGTACCATTACCGAGGAAGTCCACCCAGGGGATACCACCCTCACCATCCTTCCCCAGCACACAACAGGAAGGGTTTCTTCTTTCACCATCTTTAAAAAATTGCCAAATCTGTAAAAATAAAAAGGAAGCAGGATTGTGGAGGGGAGCTACTGAGACAAGGGCCAGTGGTGAACGCCTCTCATGCTCCTGATCTTCCTTGTGCTGCTTTCAGCTGCCATTTCTCTGTATTCAGGCTTGGTTGCAAGAAAAGAGTCCTTTGGTAGGGGGGGTGAGAGTCACTAATGACCTCCAAAGAGTATAGGATAGGCCAGAGGTCATAGCAGAGAGAAAGAGAAAGTAATTTGTGGCTCTGTGATCCGGTGGGGAGTTTGAGCAGTACTGGATGATCTGAAGGGTGTTTCTTGAATGCAGAGGAAAAATAGGACACAGTTAAGAATATTCAGGTTCCCATCCTCTGAGAACTTGCTCTTGGGGAAGATGGAAATAGACACAATTTAACTGTTGTTCAAGGTCCAAGAAATTAGCTCAAAGGAAGGGATAGTTGGATAGTTAATCTCCACCTAAGAAACAGGGAAGGCTTCCTGGAATTGTCTGTTTGCATCTGCCCCTCCCCCTCCCAAGTATGTCTCACCTCTGCTCTGTCCAGGTGTGCTGTGACAAATTTAGAAACATGTGAGTGTGGCACCAGCTGGGAAGGCTGAGAGGTAAAAACTGAGTCAGCTCAGCCTGCCCATGTGAACTTTGCACCTTTTTCGTTTTCATAAATGAAAAATCACTCACATTGCACTTAATCCATAGTGTAGCCGTCACTGAGCTACTGTGACAATGGCTGCTTCTACCTCAGAGCCCACCCCAGGCTTGGAGCTAAAGGCCCCAGCCACTGGACGTCTTAACACTGACTCTGTCCCCACAGCTACCATGTCCACACAGAGACTTCGGAATGAGGACTACCCTGACTACAGCTCCACTGATGTGAGCCCGGATGAGAGCCCATCTGAAGGTCTGAACAACTTCTCTTCCTCAGGCTCCTACCAGAGATTTGGGGAAAACAGCAGCACAACGTAAGTAGCTGTTTCTTCCCTCCTCCTGGGGGAGATTCCCGTTCCTGAGTTCTGTATTAGTAATTTAGTCTTCCTTGGAGTTATTTTTGCTCCCCATTTTACCAGTTCCCCCACTTTATAGATGAAAATAAGATATAAAAAGGTTGGGACATTAACAGTACTGAGATTTGAGCTCCTTGCCTGCCACTCTATAGTCTGTTTCTTATTTTGTTCATTTCAGCTGTGTTGGTCCTAGAAGGCTGGACCAACTCATGCTAAGAGCATGAACATAAAAACTTGTAGAGAGAACATTCTCTTGATTTAGAACCATGGGTCATCCATGCTAGAACCTCAAATACCTCTGAGCCCAATTGGAAGCCTCCTTTTCAAAGCCTCCCTCAGGCCCCTGTCCGTGTCACCAAATAGCCAGTTCATTTGGCTGACAAAGTGGGAAGAGGGAGGAATAACTCCTTCTGCACTTAAAAAAAATCAAGGGGTTAACAGAGAAGAGATCATCTTTGCATTCCCTAAGAAGGGCTTACATTTCATCCCTGGAAACTGAACCCCAAGGCTCATCTGGGCTGAGTTTAGCCCTCTTTGGGCCTCAGTTTCCCTAAAAATAAGATAAAATTGAGGACCTCACTGTGAAGCCATGCTTACTGTCTGGTGCCCTCCACTCAAATGAGAAAATTCAGAGAAGGATTTTCTGTTCCATCGAAATCTCTGACTAGATCTGCAATCTCAGCAGACCCCTGACATTTTCTTGGGATCCCAGCATCCCATCTTTTGCAGTCCTTCTGTTTATTCCTCAAGGTGAGCTATCACTCTTTTTGTGTTCCTTTGTGCGTTGGGTATGACTTACTGAGGGCTCCTTTGTGTCCTAGACTTATGCTGTCCCCTGTGACTGCCCAAGGAGACCATGGAAGCTTCTCTTGGAGGTCATTACTAATGAAGGTCCCTCTGGCTGCAGTCTCTCCTGGTGTAGGGCACTTTCTCTGGTGAACTGGGATAGAGCCAGAGGATCTGGACTGTTCATATTACTAGCCCTTGTCCACCACTAGCTGATTTCTGTTCACAAAGCTTCAGCCTCTACAGCGTATTTATTGTGTGACATGCTTTTATAGATTCCCCCATTTGCTTGCATTGCTAGCTATGTAGCCAGTGACATGTGATAGCTTCCCTTCAGAAGTCACACTCCTTATTGTGAAATATTTCTTCCAAGTTTCTTTCTCTGTAGTTCCCCTTCCAGTTTTTGCTCCTTGTTCTCAGGCATTAACTTGTCCATGCAATGTTTGCCATATGGTCTAGATTTTCATTTTTAAAGGGACATCTCTGTGGTTCAGTACCAACCAGCTAGCAACTTTAGAATAGGTTTTATATGTATTGAAGCTAATTCATGCCTGTTAGCTATTTTGAGTATCTTTTTTTTTTCCACATTGGGTTATAACTAGTAGTCAACCCCACATTACTTACTCTTGTTTGTTGGAAATTGATCAAGTCAGAAGATACCTTCCTTGGGCTTTTTATTGGGACATTTTCCAAGGTATACTTTATTCTGAGGGGCATCCTGCCCTCATATTGTGATACAAGGTAGGTGGCCCAAAAGCCCATCTCTAAGTGATGGCAGGTATCACAGTCCCATCATAAGGAGACTGTCACCTTAAGAAAAATAGTCAATAGTATTTGTTGCCCACAATAAAATTTGAGCTTTCAAAATTAGAAAAAAGCCTTGTATCCAGCACTGTGACCTGGACAGCTTTCCTCTACTTAAAGATTTTCTGATGAGATCAATGATGATATTAATACATGTTATCATTATTATTTTTTACATTATATAAAGTAATACGTCAGCATATGGAAGACCTGTGTAACCCAGAGAACCAATATCTTCCAAATGAACAAAGTGTGATGTTAGAAAATTGTGCATGGGTAAAAGATCATTCAAAGAGCAAAATCCCCAGTGGGTTTTAATGTAATAGAGGATGAAACGTTCAGATTCCACATTACAACTAACTTCCAAGAAACGACCACATGGTGGGTTTTGGTGTAGTATCAAAGAAAAGTTACCACAATTTTCTGAAGAGGTTATTAAAATGCTCCTTCCTTTTCTAACTACATGTCTGCGTGAGGGCAGATTTTCTGTATACTTCAACCAAAACAACATATCATAGCAGAGTGAATGCAGAAGTAGATAAACCCAGCTGCATTCTATTAAGCAAAACATGAAAGTTGCAAAAAAGTAAAATAGTGCCATTCTTCTCACATTTTATTTTCTGGAAAATAGAGTTACTTTTCATTAAAAATCTATTATTTATTTATAATAACATGTAATAGGCTTTATTTTAAATTCATAAATATTTGTACAGTTTCTTGGCTTGAATTTGTAATATAGTATATATCAGCAGTCATAATCCATATGAGCAAAAGCTATTTGGGATCCTCAATAATTTATAAGCATATTAAGGGATCCTGAGACCAAAAAGTATAAGAACTACTGAGTTGGAGCATAAACAGAACCACAAAGATTTGCCAGGCTTAT